GAAATGGAAGCCCCACGTGCTAAACTGGTGGTTAGAAAAACATTGAAAGTAAACATCTTAATTTCCAGCCCGGTGCTTCCTCGTGTGCCCTGTCCTAATGGGGCAGCGGAACCGAGACCACGTGCTAAACTGGTGGTTAGAAAAACTTTGAAAGTAAACTTCTTAATTTCCAGCCCGGCGCTTCCTCGCGTGTCCTGTCCCAATGGGGCAGCGGAACCGAAAGGAGAGAATTCAGTCAAGAAATTTCATTTTACATTCCTGCAACTCGGAGCTTGGATTTTTGACATGGTCACCGACCGGAGACTGCGGCAAATCTCACTATTAGTAACAGCTTCCAAACATTATTCAGCTGGCTGGGATAGCCAGAAGGTAGCGTGCTGCAGCCGCATGCCCCATGTACTGCCATGCACGGCGGTTGCCATGGGAATAATGGCTTTGGGGGTAATTCAGGCTATCCAGGGTTTCCCACATTAGGGACTCTACAGCTGGGAAGCTGTGACTAAATTCTGCTCACATTGAGCATAACGTAAAGAAAAAAGCATAGAATTTGGATCCCAGAAACCATGGGCCGAGACCTGCCAGGTGCTGCACCCTTTTAATTCCCCTTTTCTATGCAACTTTTTTTTCAAAATTTGGCAATATGCCTAGAAGCGACAGGAAGCACCGCTCAGAGAGACCACTGGTTGGGAGAAAAAGATAAGCATTTAGCTTGGTTGTTCACATATTTAGTTCTATTTTTATTTAACAGATGCGGGAACCTGTTCCTTAAAAGAAAACGTTTGTGTTTTTTTTAAAACAAATATTACAAATTCTGAAAAAGAGTGGGAAAAAGATGAGCTAATTTTGAGTAGAACTCTACAGTGAAAAGCCTGTAAATACTCAAAACGTCAAGACATTAATGATAAGAAAAGTTCTGTAGCCTAATTTTTATACCAAACCTTTCTCATGGTTTATATGCTCACTGTACATAAAATCTGGTACCAGGTTTGAATACAAAAATCACTTAACTTCTGTACAGAAACGCAGCCTTCATACATCCCTTGGGACAAATCTTTGCCACAGGTAGTGTGTACGCTTGCAGAACAGCTGTTAAAACCCTTTTAAAAGTTAGACCACAATAAGAAGTGCTCACTTACTAAATTCTGCAAATTATATTCTGAAGTTAATAGTCCTGCTGGGATCAATAGGAATAATGGAATTAAAAAGTGGAAAAGAAAACAACATTATAAAAATTGTGAACATTTTTAATTGCAAGATTATTGCTTTACGTAAAAGTTCTATAAAACCGGGCTCACCTGTAAATAAAATGCCTGCCACAGAATATCCCAGTTGGATGCTTTTTACATCTCTGATGACGATGGTCTGATTTTATCTCTGTGCAACTTCACACAGCACAGGAGCCTGGTCTGAAGGCTTGAACACTATGAAGTAAATAAAAACGCCAGTTTGATAACTTTTTGAAACATTAGACATACAAAGTTGACATTAAGCTGCTTTCCTTAGCAAAGGTACTTACTACATTGTATTGGAGATGTAATCCTCAAAACCTCTTTCATAGCTGTTATTTTTTATATACCAATCTCTTCAGCGTCTTAGAGAGTACATACAAAAACCTTAACTTTGCTACAATAGCTGGTTACTTTGAAAGCTGTGTCCTGCCAGAAACACAGCATTACCCTTTTCTCTGACAAACTAAACCCCGAGCTGAAAGAAAGGAAAGCTGCCTTACCATCCACGCAAGAAGAACTGTACCCATAAGGAAAGCTGCCTTACCATCCACGCAAGAACTGTACACATTGCGTATTTGGAAAACGATGAAAAAGTTTTCAACTTCCAACACCGGTCAAATCACGGGAGTTGCCGAATTTAAACTCAACCAGCATAACTTAACATATTTTAATAATGTATATTACATAAAATTTTACAGGAACAAACCTATGTTATTTTATTCTTAGTCTGTTTTAAGAAATGAATGTGTAAAGTTCTCCAGAATGAAACACTAGCAGAAATAGCTCTGTGAGGGAAACTTATGCCTCTTTAATCATTAAGAGTGCCTGTAAGTTTATTCCACACAGATTCCCACGCAGAAGCCTGCATTACTCTGCACTTTCCCGGCAGCTGAGTAAAGCTGTGCTTCCTTGTCTCTAGCCCTACAGTTCCCAGAACCCATTGCAACACACCCTCTTGATGTTAAGTAATCCTCAGCTACAAAAATTTTTACGAAGACAAAGATAGATTCTTCAAAAGTTCTTGAAAATTTACTCAAAACTCCTTCCCCTACCCCTCATCTCACCCCCACAATTCCTATTTTGATGGTATACAGTTGAAACAGTGAACTAGCTTCTGTAATTCTACCAGTGCATCCTTGCAATAAAACCACTGGCAGAGAAAAGAAGTAACAAATCAGAGGGAAAACAACTTAGAAAAATATTCTCCACTCTGGAACACAATTTAAGGACATAGGTAATCCATGCAGGGAATGGGAAGAACAGCACAAACCACCTTTTGGTAATTGTGAAAGAAACAAAGACGGTGATTATAAATAAATTTAAATTGAAAAATACTCAACCAAAAAGCCTGAATTAAGAACATGCTGAGAGCTCGGAGATACACCATGTGTTACTAAGCTTTTTGCATTAGACAATTAAATGAAGCAATTCGGATGAAGTTGCTAAGCCACTAGCCATCATATTTGAGAAGTCATGGCAGTCCGGCAACACTCCCACTGACTGGAAAAGGGGAAACATAACCCCCACTTTTAAAAAGGGAAAAAAGGAAGATCCGGGAACTACAGGTCAGTCAGTCTCAGCTCTGTGCCTGGGAAGATCATGGAACAGATCCTCCTGGAAGCTATGCTAAGGCACATGGAGGACAGGGAGGTGATTCGAGACAGCCAGCATGGCTTCACCAAGGGCAAGTCCTGCCTGACCAACCTAGTGGCCTTCTATGATGGAGTGACTACATCAGTGGA